TACCAAAAATCACCTGATAGACTATCATTTGACTAAATAATAAGTTGAATGAAATAACTAATACATGTCACGATACAGATATGGGCAAACAAATAGTCCATGAAAAACAGTTGGTCATTTCAATCCAATCGGGTGATTATCTTATGGCATCAAAAAATAAATCATCACTTCGTGAGTACAGCTCAGAAATGGAGAATGATTCATGATAATCGAAATCAAAGAAGAAGATACCCAAAAATACTCCACCCATTTTTTACGATTCTAGTTACATTACTTTTGTTTTCACAGCTATCTTCGGTGAACAAAGAAGATTACTTTGTTTTCGTTACAGATTCTTTACTGTGCAAATTTCTTCATTTATGCCGATATTTACACTAAAAAGAAAAAAGTCTGGTTCACATTGTGCGTAGCATTAGTGGTGTTACATAGAACTAACCTAGTATACGCTTCCAGTGAAGTAACCATTATGTACAGTATTATATAAATTAATTACATATGTTGACTTATTGTTGTACGTAGAAAGTTGTGGTCGCTTCCTTTGAAGAGGAAATCAGGCTGATTAAAGTCTGACATTTCTTGCCTAAGTCAATCTCTTTAAAATGAAAATAAAATCACGTGGTCGTGAAGAATTGAGTTTGCAAATAAAATCGTCGAATGGATATTACATTATTTTTTTTGTAAATGAACACTTTAAAAAATCACGTGAACATTATCGATAGAAAAAACCATTATACGGTTAAAAATAAAGCAATTTAATTTATCAATTATCGTTATGCAAAGATTGATTTTTGTCAAAAAACAAGAATACTACACAAAATATACATTATTAAAAAATAAAACTGTAATGAGTTTATATTACTAGTTAATTTTCACACTGAAATAATACTTAAAGATTTGTTAACAGAAAAAATTATTAGTCAAACCTATTTAGCGAAAGATCCATTCAAAAAATTAGAGAAGTATGTTTAAGAAAAAAGCATATTAATTTATTCAATGTAAGTAATGAAAGAGGGTTCTAAAAGTTCCGTATTAATCAATTGCCACATGGTGATGAAGGCATATAGATATCCCTCAAAAAACGTTCTATCATTTACTGCTTGAGTTCCATTTCGGTCATCTTGTTTGCTAAATCGTTAAAATTAGCAACATTATCAAATACTATTGTAGATGTATTCAAATTTTTCTTTTTGAAGGTGGATAATCATCATCAAATTCATCATTTCTTTGGTGTACGTTATTATTTTTCATTATTGATATGTTCTTGAATAATTTTAATTAAATCTTAAGTTGTGTTACGCGATTTCTTGTGTATGTGATTTCCGATGTTGTATGATGATCCGATGAGATTTCAGTACATTTGTGCACATGTCGATTTCTGACGTTCGTGCCGATTTACGCCGATATACAACTGCAGATTTGTGTACATTAGATTAACTTAATAAATGATATTGGTTTTTTTAATTATATTTACATATGTAGTAGTAGTATAGTTATTTTATTATTGTTTATATTATTTTATGTTATTTATTGTAGGATAATTAGCTCAATAGTAATTAACCGATAGAATTTGTCATTTTGTGCTTTATTAAAGTGGCTTATAATGAACACTTTTTATAATTTAATGCCAATATAACAATATATATACAAACGTAAAATTCTTTTTCACAAATTTGAAAATAATCTTTCTTCTACATACAAAATATAAAAATGAGTTTTAATAGTTAAACTCGAGTAGTATCTGAATTTAACATTTCCGATAAAGATTCTAGTTCCGTAATAATAATTGTTATGACCCAGATAATGGTAAATTTTGGTATAAAGAATGTGTTCCTCGTTGTGTTCTATATTCCAAATGTATGTATAATAAATTATTAAGAAAATGGAGACCGTTAAAATCCATTTGATAACAACACATTCTAAAATTGTTTTCCTAATAAAATACAGAAATTTTTAGATAAAAGATCTCTGTGTAACAAAATAAATTTTTTATTGTTAAATTTATTATTAAAATTTTTTTTTTATATTTAACAGAGCTTTTTAAATAGTTATTATTGTCCAGAGCGAAGCGTAGAGCTATCTCTGGTACGTTCATACACAAATTTGTGTTATCTTTCTTATAAATTATTTCCTTCTTTCCTCTGCACTTTTACGGTCTCCCTCTAAACATAGAAAATATAGATGATCCTACTTTTGCTAAATATATTAAGATTTGTCATTTAAGCAATAATATTTTTTTTTTTAAAAAAAAAGTTTTATTTAATGTAAGGCAAGTATTTTACAGAATTATAGTGATGCCGTTTTACTAAGACCTACGCACAGTAATCGTGATTTGGTAATATTAATTTTGTAAATTTTACTTAAATTTAATCAAATCTTTTTTATGCAATTAAAGCATGGAAGTATTATACTTATATTTGTAGCCGAAACCTTTTCACGTGAGTTTCTCAAACTTAATTTAAGCAAAATCATGATACATAAGAAACTATGAATAGTTTCTAATATAATTAAAGTGCCCGAAACCTCAATCAGACGTCAGAAAAATATTAATTGATGAATTCTGGATTATAAAAGCGTCATTAAGTAATACATCAAAAATACTAGGCGTAACCTTATATTATTAATTCTAATATTTAATTAATACTATTATTGCAAATTACCTATTATCATTAAAAATATTATTGTAGATAAAAAAATCAGTTGGAAAATAGTATGTCACAAGATCACTTTGAATATTATAATGAACTAGAAATAAATTTATGTGAAAACGAGATAAATAAAAGAAATATATTGAATTACCAGATATTAAATTTAATAAAATTCAAATAAATCATGATAAAAAGAAAAGAATTAGGAGAACTAAATAGTTTAGGTTATCATTATTATCAATTTAGTATAGAAACTAGTATAAAAAAAAGTTGTAACTAAAACCAAGAGATTCAAAGTTATTCATCCAAACAAATCCTCATCGTAATGTGTGAGAAAACGGTGTATACATGTGTGATTTGTGTTTACTTGTGTACATGTTTTGGCGAATAATCAAAGATGATACCAAGTGCTTTAAAGGTGAGGCCATTCCAAAAAAATCTGAGTGGAGGAAAATTAAAGAAATGATGGCATATTTACTATCATTCCACACCAGATACTAAAAGTAAAGCGATAACTGGCACGATAAACTGAACGAAAAAAAATATAAAAACTTTTCTAAATATCTTGGTGAATGTTTACTACTGATGATATTGATCTCTGGGTACATTATAATTATTATTTCCCTCAATAAATAATATTTATCGTTCGAGATCAAGTATACTTGAATGAATTTACTGAATTACCGCACCTCAGCGACTGGCCATGACCAATTAATTAGTTGTACAATGTCGAGTTAATTTTAAGATATAATAGGACCGTTATTCCTGAAGAATGAGTCAATATGTTTAATTAATAATATCAAGTTTTGAAATTATGTAAATTAAATATTGACCTTCCGATATCTATCCCCCAATAAAAATAAATACATTTAAAGAACTTGCAAAAGCTCTTAAAACCCATTTCACTTTAAAATATTGCAAGTATATATTATATCAAATGAGTTTCCAATGAAGATAATGCCACCAAATTTATTGCTGACTTTCGTTCACCTTGTCTTAAAGCGATAATTACTAATCTACAAGAAATTAAAAAACATCTTTTGGAAACATATTCATTGAATAAATTCTTTAAACATGAATTTCCAAAGAAAATATCTGGCGTCATATCAATTAATGAATTATACAGTGAGGTCATTTAGATAGTTCAAAGGTAGTCATACATGTAAATTTAATATAAAATTAAAATCTCATAAACTGATAACTTTTTTAATTTAGGAGTAGGTATTAATATAATATCTTTTTATCAAATAATTTTATTCATTAATTAGTTTTATTCATATGACATACAAAAAATTTTTTTTATTATGGAAAGAATTAATAAAATTATGTGAGAACGTATTATAAACTACATTTTTTAGTAATATAGAATGGTTTAACTTACTCAAAAGTATTTCTTTTGATCTCAATCCACAGCACTTGTTTTTTCTATAAATATGACTCATTATTAATTATATGTATATTGTTATGTAATAAAGTATTATGGCAATAAAGTTATCTATTGTTTTATTAGATCTAAAAAAAAAGCCAAAATGACGTCATCTTTCCATAAAAAAAAATGAATAATATTGCCAAACAATTGTATTATGCAAGATATTATTGTAATAAATCTTACTGATACTACTGATGCTGGTTGATATTAAGCTATCAGATAATCAGAACAAAGTATTAAAATAAGCTCAAAAAGAGGCCAGCCAATAGTATCTTGCGTAATAATATAATACAATTTTGAAGTCTATTTTTATTGATCATCATGCAAGTATAAAATTATAAGCTCCGACAACAAAATGATTTTTACAGTAATAGTCAAAAATCATGTAAACAAAGTTTATGGGAAAAAATGATGTAATATTGTAACCAAACTCCCTAAAGAAGTATAACAAGATTATTAGTCACTATGTATCCAAAAGGGTTTTTTAAAAGTATATATATACCCTCAAAATCTCAAACTTCTTTTTTTTTAAAAAAATACACCCTTCTTTCTTTCTTTAAAAAATACACCTTTCTTTTTTTTTTTATAAAATACACCTTCTCTTTCTTTTTTTTTAAAAATATACACTTCTCTTTCTTTAAAAATTACACACTTCTTTCCTTCTCTAAAAATACACATTATATTACATATTTTATTATTTTACTCTTAAAAATTATTTTTAAGCAAGACTTTCTGACAGTACAGTCTGAAACTTTGGGAGTTTAGTGTTACTGAAGTTATAAATAAATAAAATAATCTTTATTTATTAAGGTAAGCTTGCGCTCACTGCTTGCATAGTTTTAATGATACTGGTTTACGGATAAAAAAAGCTGAGGAGTAAGATATAAGAGAAACTGGCTTTCTCTTAAGAGGGTTAGCCTATGTACCTGGCTCTTATGGTTGGTGTCATGATATCAGTGGTTTGCCATAGGATTATACAGTGTATTGTACTAGTTCTGGGGTGAACCACTGGTAGCATGATATTAACACTTTCCCTATAAAAAATAAATGTCCGGAAAATGTCTACGAAAATGTCCGGAAATTGTCCAGAATAAATCTGGCATGTCCAGAAATTGTCCGGAAAATGTCTATTTTTTGCTACAAATTTGATACCTAAAATTTTGACATATCCGGACTTTGTCCAGAATATATCCAGAATTTGTCCAGTATAAAAATTTTGGACAAATTCCGGACAGATAAACCTGGACAAATTCCGGACATAGTAAAAATTCAGATAATTTGAACTGGACAAATTCCGGACATGAAAAAATTCTGGACAAATTCTGGACGCTACTTCCAAAAAAGGATAAATTAATTTTGTAAAAAAATGCAAAAAGCACAAGACTGACATTCATAACCTTCTTTGTCATACTAATTAAATTTGCTGAGCAGGCAAAAATACTATATATCTATGATATAAAACTTTAAGTTAAAAGCAATTATAATGATGGTCACCTGTTGATCATCTTTTTGTGCCAAATTTTATGAAAAAATATTTCAGGTCAATTTCCGGACAAATTCTGGACAAAATGAGTGTCCGGAAACGAGTGTGTTTTCGGAACAATTTCCGGACATGGTACCTGTCTCTTATACACATCTAGATGTGTATAAGAGACAGTTTCTGGACATTTTCCGGACAATTATTTAGACAAATTTTCCGGACAATTTCTGGACAATTTCCGGACACTTATTTTTTATAGGGTTTTCTGGAAGCTTTTTTTTATGGAGTATGGTGCAAATCATACTAATGTTTTTTTTATCTTGCTTAGATTATCTTAGGTTTACTACAGCATGAATGTATAATATACACAGTACTTCAAAATCTGATGTCTCAAATCTTCAATTCCTCTGGCTCAAAAAATAGGATACTGAGATAGGCATTCCACTAATTTTTTAATTTAACAGCTGAATAATACGAAGAGTATCAAAAATTTTGCTAATAAACAAAAAAGCTAGGTTTGTGAAACTTCAACGTAACACAATGCAAGTCCCATTTTGATAAGTTCTAAGAATTCTGTACAGAATGTACAATAAAAATTGAAATGTCATTTGGAAACATACTTTAACCATATTAGGCATTAAAAAAATCAATTTTATAAACAATGTAGGATCCATTTTGTATCAAACATTAGAAACTTCTATCGGGTATTATATGCAGATTTTTTTTTAATTTTGTAAAAGAATTCATTGTTCAATAAATAAACCATTTTTTATTATAAAAACGTATATATATATAAGCTGTTTCTTTTAAATATATTCAAAAATGAACAAATAAATTAATAGATAAATAATTATGAACCAATTAACAAATCATAATCATAAAATTGACTTTTAACATCAAATGATACATCTTCATTTCAACCAACGCAAACCATAGTCAAATCAAACCATAGTCAAATCAAAGTATAAAAAAGAGAAATGAATGTAATAAAAGAAGGTCACGATTAGATGAAACTCACCAGATTTGTCACGTTTGTTACAAAATGAAGACATTATTTAAACCGAGTGGAAACAAAATTATCGATGATTTCATTAGATTTACACATGTCAACTTAAATTGGAGTTTGTTCCCTATGAACAATTCAAAAATATAGAATTTATTGTTGAGGGAGGATTTAGCAAAATTTATAAAGCAACTTGGGTTGATGGTCCGATTAATTGGGATAATATTGAACGTAAGAGTGATAATATTTCTCGTAAACCTAATTATACAGTAGTTCTCAAAAAAATCAATGATTCTAAAAACATCACGTCTAAGGAATTGAATGAGGTAATGTAAAATAATATGTTTAAATAAATCGTAGATAATTAATAACATAACCTTTTTTATTCTAGCTTAAGATATAGTATGATTTTTACACAAATTGGAATTCACAGCATAATAATTATCAGGTTAAGCGTAGAAGTAATAAGATATCTTACCAAGAAACTCCGCTTAATAGTTACATTTGTAATTATTTTGGTATTACTCAAGACGTAAATACACAAGATTTTATGATTATTATGCAAAATTATGAATTTGGTAATTTAATACATTACCTAAGTAATGATTTTTATAACATTAGATGGTCTAATAAATTGCATAATTTAACATGTATCGCGAATGGACACCAATCATAACAAATGCACCCGAAGGATATATTGAATTAATGAAAGAATGTTGGGATTCTGATCATGTAAAAGACCTACAGCCAATGATATATATAAAAGAATTTGTATATTGGTTAGAAACTAATGAAGAACAAAATAGTAAAAATCAGAATCCAACTAAAATTATAGAATCATCAGATATTGGACTTGTACCAAAAAATAATCCAGGTGCCATTGGCCTTTAAGTAGTATGATTAATTCTGCAATGTCTTTAAGGAGTTCGAGAAGTCAATCTATTAACTTAGAAAAAGTCAAACGAAAATAACGAAAATTTGAAGATAATAATGATGATGGTATGATTTTATTTACAATTTTATAATAAGATTTTAGGGTGTCAATATTTATTAATTAAAATTTATTTAGGTCAAAGCATTAAAAGAAAAAAATTGTATGAAAATGAAAATAATGGTAAAAATTTTTTTATAAATATCAATTTCATAACTTGATTAATTAAAATTAACGTATAATTTTTCTTTAGATTATTTTACAAAATTCATCAAATTAGATATTGATATGAAATTAAGTACTGATGGTATGTAAATATATACTGACTATAATAATTTTTTAATATTAAATTCTAATCTAACGTTCTTAATTTATATTTGCAGAATATATTACCCAGGAATATGATTTTGATATCTAATTTTAATTTTTTAAATGTTTATAGAAAGTTTAATTTTTATTTATCATAAATAATGGATCAGAAACATATTATATTATCAATAAATTATTTTTTTTTTACTCTGTGAAAATATCATTTAGTCTTATTTAGTGTATAATTACTAAATTTTTAGGAAAAGCGTGTCAATTCATTTGACGCTACTTCCAAATGACTAAGGCATATGAGGGAGAATCTATATATTATAAACTGTGAAATCGTTAAAATCCCACCTTCTCGTTGATATTTGAAGAAACATTATGTAAAATTTTCTTTATTCTAGACAGATTCTGAAATCACTGATTTATCTGTATTATAGAAACGTCATGGCAATTTGGATTCATTTATTTTATATTTATTTTATTTATTTTATTTTATGTAAAGCAGGAGAATTACAATGAAAGTCACTACACAATTTTAAAGAATAAAAGAAGCGGACAACATAAAACTTCATCAGAGCGGACCCTCACTAGAGAAATCCATCTGTCCAGCGGGGAACAACTTATATTATTTGCGTCGCCGTTTTATAATAAAACCGTATCGTTATAAATCACGTGGACGCGTGACTTTGGTCACGCACTTATTGTTTGATTCAGAAAAGTTGAACAGATGTAATATTTCAATAAATTTTATTGGTCCGTATATCCTTGAAAAATTTCTCAATGTTTTTCAAAAAAGAAAGAGCAAGATTTTATCTTATAACAAATCGAAGAAATATTTAAAAACTTGAAATTTTTTATAAAAAGTAAAATATTTCATCATCGCATGTATAATTGGGCGTTTCTTTTTTTTGCTGTCCCTTTTGATACTTAAATTCGATTTATACTTAAAATAGAAAATAGATTCATTTGGTTCATATAATGAAATATATTTAATTTTTAACACTTGTAAATACTCAATTTAGAATGATATTTGGCGTTATCGAAATTTACTGCAAGCGCAGCACCTGACTTGTCTTTATTCACTTAAATATAAACGTAACTACATGCCATTATTTTATTAATAATGAAAATAATAAAAAGTAAAATAAAATACAATAAAAAATAAAGGTATAAAATATAAGCAATATAGTGAACTACAAATAAGAAAAAAAAATAAATGTTAATAACATACAGTATATTGAAATTTACAAATTTTCTAGATTTCATGAACATTATAATTATTGTCATAAAATTCAAAATTTTGAGGACTAGATAAAATTTCACTATGTTCAGAAAAGCTAACTGCAGCAGGAACATTCACTTGTTGAGGACAAAAACTATTTGATAAAATATTTTGTTCATTCATAAAATTTAATTCATTATTATCATAATGACAGTCAATTTCTGTAGCAGTTGATATGTGAAAAAATACATTTTTAAGGTAACACAATTTTTTTATCTGACCGTCCTTTATTATAGTAAAATAAAGATGAATTTGAAGCATTTGTATTTTATTTAAATCCAACAGAAGGTGAAATTCTGGTGCACAAAATAGTTTAGGATATTGTTATCTAAATAGAATACCATTTGGATTACTATATTTAAAAGCTGTTGATAAAGGAAATATTAGCAACATGGAATGGAAATAAATAAGAAATTCTCGTATACTATATTAAAAGGCGACAGAAATTAAATAGAATGATAAGAAGCTAGACTACTTAACCCATCCAAGCAATTAAAGCAAATCTAGGAAAGGCCTATCTGCTAAAAGAGAATATTCACCTGTACAAAGTGCATTTGATGACTATTTCCGAGATGGTATTAAAATAGAAAAATTTTGGAAAAGTCTATTTACTGGCATAAAAATCTGTAATACTGTTTTGGTGTAGACTCAATTAAGAAATACTGAAAATAATATAAATGGTTTTTTATTTTTTGTATCAATAAACAATTTTTAAAAATGTTTATTCAGAGTTTCTGAAATTTTACGTTAATATTAAAATTTAATTCTGGTGTAACGTAAAATTTAATTCGGTGGAACTAAAAATTATTTAATAATACTTAAAAAATATTAAAATATATTTATCATTTAAATTATTATTTATAAATACTGTAGAAAATACTTCTTTTTTTATTAAAAAATCCAAATTACTAAATTTAGTTAATGCCAAAATGGTTAATATTTGTACTAAGTCGAGACGACATTGATCGCAAAATGTGATCTTAATCCATTGGTTGCTGAAACGATCAAAAGTCAGCCATACCAATTTACCAATTCATTAAAATCAGCTATAACTGATCAAATTCAAACTATAAAAGTTGTACTCTATTGCAAATAGGTTAATTCACTTTTCGATCCGACCAAATCTTGATCTAGAACTGAACGATGGGCTTCTTTTTTTGTAAATGTCTACGTGATGCATAGACTAATTAGAGAAAACCAGGATTTAAGTCACTTATATTAAATGTTATTTTTTATGGTTAATTCATAACTAAATATTTAGATCGCTTTCACGAATTAATTAATTTACAGATCCATTTGGGCGAGGTCGGCGATTTGAAATAATTATTATCAAAGTGAAAGTTAATAAATAAATTAAGCTCTGATTATCGCTAAATACAGTTATATTAAGACACCATTTACAAATTTTATACGTATTTATTTATATATTAGTATAGTATAGTTTTACTCGTGTGATACTATGATTTATATTTTTATCGAACTTTCATGGATGAGCACTAGGAATGGAATCGGTTCAAAATGAGTCGACTCGAATCGATTCTGGAACCGATCTTAAATCTAAAAGATTCTGGATCTCTTGGGCTTAAAACTACTTTTAACCATAAAAACCGTTCTGAACTTCGAACTGACTTCAAGAATACAAGAACCAACTCAAATTGAGTCATCTGACGATCACACACCAACTATCATTTGAAGGCCAATCAAAATTTTCTGATTGATCATCATCACATGCTCTACTTGTGTCTCCGAACATAGATGACATAGCTCATATTTTTATTTATGTGGAATAATTAGAACCGAGCGACGAACCGATTTCCAGGGTACCATCCCTAATGAGCACATTTCAATCGTTGATTTAATACGTCAAATTTTGGATTGACAATGACCATCTTGTGTAGTACAGATTAGAGGAAGGCGTAATCTAACTTAAATTGTGAAACAATGTACAATTTCCAAACAAATAAAATAATTAAATTTTTCAGGCCGATTCACAAAGACTTTTAAAACTTTTCTAACAAATAATCATGTCTTTAAATAATAATATTATTTCGAAAGAGGATGAAAATTTCTTGAAAGAATTTTTAAAAGATTTTTATCGTCAAGTTATAAGAATAGAATATTTTTTAAAATATGAACATATTTTAAAGGAATGGTTAAAAGATTATTTTAATGATAATAAAAAAAATCCTGAAATAATTTTAAATTTAATGAAAAATCATGAAGAAAGTGAAAATTGGTTTTCAAGTTTAATAGGATTTTTTTATGATCATAATATAGGACATAATAATACCAATTTTATTGATATTGATAAAAATTATTCTTTGAAATTAAATTTGTTATCAATTAATAATAAAGATGGTATTAATTCTATGTATCATTTACTTAATAATATTATTTCAAAATATTTTTTATCATTTTATTATTATAAAGATATTATTTTAGATAAAAAGAATACAATCACGAAGAGGTTGGAAAATCTTTCATATGATCATTTTGAAAATTTTAATGGACTAGAAATAAACTTATGTAAAGATGAAATAAATACTATAGAGAAGTATTATGAATCATTGGCGGATAAAGGTTTTAAACAAAATAAAACGGAATATGATAAAAAGAAAAAATTAATAGAACTAAATAATTTAGGTTACTGCTATCAATTTGGAATAGGAAAAAATAAGGATGAGTTTAAAGCATTTGAATGTTATTTAAAATCGGCAGAAGAGGGAAATTCTAGTGCACAAAATAATTTAGGTTATTGTTATCAAAATGGAATAGGAATAATAAAAAATGAAAATAAATCATTTGAATGGTATTTAAAAGCTGCTGATAAAGAAAATATAAATGCACAATATAATTTGGGCATTTGTTATCAAAATGGAATAGGAACAAACAAAGATGATAAGAAAGCTCTTGAATACTATATTAAATCTGCTAAAGGAGAATATCCAATTGCACAAAATTTGTTGGGTAATTATTATCAAAACGGAATTGGAATGGAAAAAGATTTAGAACAATCTATTTACTGGTATGAAAAAGCAGCAGAAAATGGAAATAAATTCGCACAATATAATTTGGCCAAAATTTATGTAAATGGAGAGAATGGCATAGAAAGAGATGAAAATAAAGCTTTTAAATATTATAAAAAATCAGCTAATCAAGAATATCTGGATGCCCAATTTGAACTTGGATACTGCTATGATGTAGGAATTGGATTTCTTAACAAAATGAAAGCATTTGAACTATATGAAATTGCTGCTAAAAAAGAACACAAAATTGCACAACATAATCTTGGAAATTTGTATAAAAAAATGTTTGACTCAAAAGAAGCAATTTACTGGTATACCAAGGCAGCAGAAAATGGATATAAAATAGCGCAGTATGATTTAGCTTATTGCTATAAACGTGGGATTGGGGTTGCAAAAGATAAAGTTAAGGCATTTCAATATTATAAAAAATCAGCTGATAATGATTATCTAAAGGCCCAATTTGAACTTGGATACTGTTATGATGTAGGAATTGGGACGGAAATTAATAAAATAAAAGCATTTGAATTGTACGAAGTAGCAGCAAAAAAAGGACATACGATTGCACAATATAAACTTGGAGCTTTATATGAAGATGGAAAAAATTTAGAAAAGGCTTTTTACTGGTATAACAAAGCAGCAGAAAAAAGATTTAGTGTAGCACAATATAACTTGGGAAGGTGTTATAAACGTGGAAAAGGAGTTAAAAAGGATGAAAATAAAGCATTTGAATATTACAAGAAATCAGCTGATCAAGGATATCTAAATGCTCAATTTAAGCTTGGATATTGCTACAGCAAGGGAATTGGTACTGAAATTAATAAAACAAAGGCATTTGAGTTATATAAAATAGCAGTTGAGAAAGGATGTAAAACAGCATTATATAATTTAGGCGAATGTTATGAATTAGGAAATGGTGTGAATAAAGATCCGGTTAAAGCATTTGAATGTTTTAAGAAATCAGCTGGAAATGGAAATGTTTATTCGAAATTTCAGCTTGGATATTTTTATGTGAATGGTATTGGTACTGTAGTTAATAAAGAAAAGGGATTTGAATTATATAATGAAGCAGCCGGTAGTAATATTCAAGTTGATTTTATTGAAAATGTTGAAGAATTAGTGAATGATTTAGATAAAGTTAATTATTGGTACCATAAAGCTGCAGAAAATAATAATGGACTTGCATTATATAAGTTGGGCGAATTTCATGAATTAGGAATGGGTGTTTATGAAAATAAAGTTAGAGCATTTGAATTTTATAAAAAATCAGCTGATCAAGGATTTATTGATGCTCAATATAAACTTGGATATTTTTATGAAAAAGGAATTGGTACCGATATTGATATAGCGAGGGCATTTGAATTGTACAGAATAGCCGCAGAAGGAGGAAATGTTGATGCACAAAAAAGTCTTGCATATTTATATGAACAAGACGAAGGGACTGATAAAAATATAGAAAATGCTGTTTATTGGTATAAGAAAGTTGTAGAAGATGTTCAAGAGAAGTTAGATGCTCTTTTAAAGTAAGACGGAATTCAAAATTGATCAAAATAATTTATTTTCTTTAAATTTTGAAATTTTCATTGTAAACTGTAATTTTTTCACTGTCGCTTTTTTATTATTTAAATCCATCATCATTTATAAATTTATGCTATCAAGAAATTAATAAATTAAAAATTTTTTTTTGATTTCTAATTAGAATATTCTAAATATGATTATAGATATAAACCATTTGACCTGTAAATATTATGTTGGCATATGTTAGTATCGTCCACCAAGATATCAGTTATAAATGGTCTACAAATTGAAGATCATGAAAATCATTCCTTTTTGGATAATTCCGGTGGAAAATCTGTTACTTTTTTTTTGGAATTATCGATAACTCAGGCCCTGAATTCAATAATGCGTAATAAATATGAATCATACATAGTACTACTTTAACCATACATAATCATACACATCAACACTATTGCGAATTTATTAATTGTGCCACTTTTGTGACTGTGACTATAAAGTCAGGATTATTTACATCAATGTGTCAGCCTAAGTCATGCTGCCTACAATAAAATATATTACATGTTCTTCATAAATTACTGACAAGTGCATGGTAATATTGACTCATATTAACAAAGAATATGTAATATAGTATTTAATTGTGCATTATTTAATTTGACTAATAATGTACTTCTTATTCACATCAATGTGTCAGTTCAAGTCATGCTGCCTACAATAAAATATATTACATGTTCTTAATTAATTACTGACAAATGCATGGTAATATTGACTCATACAAAAAATACATATATATATAACTAAAATACCCATCAAATTCTTTATTTCTTTACCATTTTAAATATCTTTACCATTTTAAATAATTCATTATTTATCCTACTTTTTTAGTAATTTGAATCTAATCAATATGAGCAACTATCCTGGTCAAAATAGTAAGTCCAATGAAACGTACTTAATTTGTAATATTTACTTTCAAAGATACTTAGTTATTAACCAACTTCTATTTAGTTCTAATTGAATATTTAAAAGAACAAGGTAGTAAATCATCATATTGTGGATTTTTGAAATTTAGCAGTAAATTCATCACTGCTTTGATATCACCTACAGATACATGTGATAGGCTTGATACTATTTGGTTTTATCACTTTCTTTGGGAGGCAAAATCTCTGTTTAATCAGGAAACTTATGTTGTAATAAAAAATAAGGTGAGTCATTTTTTATTTTGCAAAGTTAGGGTAACTCCTAAGTTGGATGCGTTTTGACTTAGGAGAATTACTGATTTTGACATCTTGGTAACCAATCCATAGACCTCATTTTTGGGCACCCTAATTTTGTAGTTGATACAAGTCTGCTAATTCTGGAGGAGGAATTGGCTATGTACCTTCTTTTATCACTAAATAAATATTGATGCACTGCTAATAATTTCTTTCTTATAATAGGTAAATGAAGAACACTTTCGTTGTATAAAGTTTTTGCAAAATTTTTGGCAAAGGATTATTAAGGAACATAAAAAAGAAAATTTAGTCCCTTCTGATAAAACATCTGATATAAAATCATCTGAAATTTCTCAACTGAATAGGATTATTAGGACATATAAAAAAGAAAGTTTAGCTCCTAATGTTACATCTCAGTTAAATGAGACATCTAATATAAAATCATCTGAAATTTCTCAACTGAATAGGATTATTAGGACATATAAAAAAGAAAGTTTAGCTCCTAATGTTACATCTCAGTTAAATGAGACATCTAATATAAAATCATCTGAAATTTCTCAACCGAAAAAATTACTCTTCAAGTTAAACAAAAGGGAAAAAGAGTAAGAGATGATAATATTGATACAGAAAGTTCATCTAATGGTAAGTTATAATATTTAGATTATTTCTTTTTTGCATTATATATATATATAATATTTATATTATTAAATTATGTTTAATGATTATCCATTATTAGAACACTGGAAGAAACAAAGCCAAATTCTAAAACAAAACAAGAATAATTTAGCATATGTCCAAGTTGTTGATAATACGCTTCTTGTTGCTTCAGCATATGAAAGTCTTATTACAAATAATATCATACCTTTTATTAAAATTCTAAAAACTTCTTTACTAACAAGATCACGAATGTCTCTATCATAAGCAAATGAACCTGTACTTCAAGCAATTGTAGAGAATCTTTTGCCATTAAAGTATTGTATTCCAGAACTTTCATTAGTAATCAATGGTAAAAAGCAAAAAGGCTCAGGTCGTTTTGGTTATTCAGATATTTTTATTTTAAGTAGTGAAGGAGATAATAATGTTATTTTAGAATTGAAATATATATCATTAGTTGGACTTATTAATAATTTAAATCAGAAAATTAAGTTTGGTGCAAATGAACTTGAAGATCTAGATAAAATACTTGAAAAGGAAAATGAAGAATCTGTATTAAACAGATCATATACATATTGGTCAAAGGAAGAAAAAAAAACAAATTTGACAACTATAGATGAAATATTAAATAAGGGGTCGAATCAATTAAATTTATATATGAAAACAATTTCAAAAGGAAAAGCTATAAATTATTCTAGCTCAGGAGTATTTGATGAGCGTGTTGAAATAACAAAATCTAAACCTAATAAGTTAACGGGATTTGTTATATTAGTAATTGGTTTTCGTTGCATTTTATGGCGGGAGATCTACTAATGAAGTAACAACTAACTATATATTTAATAAGATTTAAAATATTAATAGTCTAAATTTATTAAGTTTTGAAAACATTAATCTAGATTATGTTATATTCTTTAAATTTAACAAATTTTAATTTTTTATTTTTTTTTTATTCTTTTCTTATTTTTACTTACTAATTGTTTATAGTTTATACTTTATTCCTTCTATTTTCTTTCTGTTGTTTATTAACAATTTACAGTATTAAATATCTTTTATTTTTTTATTATTTATTCTATTCTTTCTATTAAAAGTAGATTGATGCATCAAAAGATGGGGCAGGAATTTGAAGATTTAATTGAAAGTTGCAATTCTATGGAAGCGATTAAATGCCAATTGAAATGTTTCATTTGATCCAATATTCCTTGTTTTTATTTTTTACTATTCTATTCTTTTAATTCTTTTATTTTTTCTTAACAATTTATTAAAATTTTTTCTTTATTTACTACTTTCAATTTATTATTACTATATTTTAAATAATTTATTATTTAGTTATCATATTCATTAACAGTTTGAATCTAATCAATATGAGCAACTATATGGGCAAAATAGTACACAGTGAAATTCGATAAACCGGATCTTCAATAAACCGGATTTGGGCCTAAACCGGACTTTTTTGCTGGAACCAAATCACGTATATTAAAATACTAGGTTCAATATACCGGAGTTTACTAGTAAAAGCTCGATATTCGCTATTACGGATCAATTTTCTAACCAGCTATAGTAAAAAATGATTCGATAAACTGGATCACGTGATCATTAACCAATAAAATTTAAGTAACGTGATGCGTTAAATCTTAATTTTGGCCAGAATTATAAAAATCTTAATTCCGGCTGAAGTTTTGTATTACTTATATATTTAATTAAAATATTTTATATTCATTTTCATGACCTCTATGACTTAAAACTAAGATGAAAAATTTAATTATAGTGTATATTAATTTTATTAGCATGAAAATTTTTTAAAAATTCTGTATAATAGATTTCCAATATATCGAAATTTTTTCGCTAAACCGGATATCCCGATAAACCAGATATTTTTAGTGGAACTGACAGATCCGGTTTATCGAATTTCACTGTGTACTAATCCAATGAAAATTACTTCTAAGAATTCTAAAAAGAAACCACAAGAGACAAAATCTGAGCCTGTCTCTTATACACATCTAGATGTGTATAAGAGACAGGTACTAGTTCAATGAAAATTACTTTAACTTTTAATATTTATTTTCAACTTGTGATATTTAGTTACTAACTAATCTTTTAATCTATTATTTAATTAAGATACTTTAAGCCTGTCTCTTATACACATCTAGATGTGTATAAGAGACAGAAATAATATAGGGTGTAAGCTATTTATTTAATTCTATTATTACTTATTAAAAAAAAAAAAAAAAAATCCAATGAAAATTACTTTAACTTTTAATATTAATCTTTTAATCTATTACCTAGATACTTTACACACTGTAAAATTTTCTTTATTCCTTTTATTCTCTTTCTGTTATACTTATTAACAATTCACAGTATTAAATCCTTTCTAAACTTATATTTTTTTATTCTTTATTCTATTCTTTTTATTTCTTATTGTCTATTAACAAAATCTTTTTAACTTTTTTATGAAATTCCTTTTTTTTTTATTTTTTACTATTCTATACTTTTTATTCTTTATTTTAATCAAATAAAAAAAAATCCATATTTTTTCAATTAATTTTTTTTAAAGAATATATTAATACATGTGACCTTATACCAAAACTTTTCAAATTCCATCCTTTAAAATAAATACATAAGTCTTTGTTTATTAAAATTATCTTTTATATATACATTATTAATATATAAAATTATCATATGATTGAACTATAATATTATGTAATTTAAATTCATTTACTTCATCTTTTAAACAAAATAATTCGATTTCATCCCTAGTATAGCCATCTATATCTAAAATAGCCATATGTAAAGTATATAAATATAAAATTTGAGGCTTTCTAGCCGGTACTTTTATAATGCATAAAAAAAAGTGGCGCAAATTCATTCAAAATATTGCCAAATTTTGACTAATTGACAATGCTTAGGAATTGTTTGTAAAATTTCAAGATTTATGTGGAGGAAACATAGATTTCACATGTAATTTTGACTTGTTCAATTTATAAATGGATTTGAGTTTATAAGAATTACATTAAACATTTGGATAAAAAAAAATCAAATCTCAAAGTCCTTTCAATAAAAATTTGATTTGGTTAAAAATTGATCAACTTATCTATGGGGAAAACGCAGATTTCAAATTTACGACACGCAGTTCGAACAGTCATTAGAAATCTTCACAATTATTCAATAAGAAAAATAAAAGCCCAATATCAACTTTCATATACAAAGAATTCTGACTAAACATAATTAATTATCACTTATCACTTAGGAATATCTTTTGAGTCATCATTTATACATTAAACTAAAAATACTATAAGGTATAATGAAAATATTAACTCCTCACCAATTTTACACAGGCTATTTCCTTTAAGAGAAAATGTTTACAGTGAAAACATCATTGTTAGCTAACTAAATAATAATGGCATTATAATTAATACATCAATTAACTTTTTAATTTTAACCGGAAATAAAATCCATTAAATAATATCTTAAAAGTACCTTTTAAAACTATATTAGTAAAAGGTTTATTAAAAATTACGAAATTTACTATACCAAAAATGCTAATTTGACTTCATTGTCATCATATTTTTGTCATCATGTTTTTTTTTATTTACCTATAATTCTGTTCATATTCTTAATTAGTTTTATATGTACAGGCTTATTTATCATTAACTAATAAACAAAGTATTACTTCGCCCTTAAATTATTGGTTACTGTAGAGACCATCCTGCATCCTTACGTGCATGATTTATTAAATCATTGCCACCAGTTGGTATGCATAAAGTAAGTTTTATTAGTCGTTAATGAAAATACGTTCACAAGTTCAAAAGATAAAAATTTGTTAAACAAACGTAAAATACTTTCAAAACCTATTTAAATGAAAATAAAATTCTAAAGGAACCAATTAAATTCAAAATAAAATTTCCCTTTCTAAAATTAATTAAATATTAACTAAACCAATTAAAATAAAAACTTCCAAAAATATCAAACTTAGATTTTCAACGCTCTCTGGATAAATCTACACAATAAATCATCTGATAATTCTACTTTGCCACAGATCACATTGGTTACTCAAATGATATTATTCCGGATCACACTTAAAATGGTAGTTGAGGGTCAATTTCGGACCTCAGTGTGGTCAACTAAATGGTAGTTTAAGGTTAATTCCGGACCGTAGTAAATTTAAAACATTTTACAATTTTATACACCTAAATTAAATTTAATACTGCGCCCAAAAATTAATAATATCACTAGAAAAAGTCGTCCTCCGGGTCAAATCGGTCCATAATGATCGGCTATGTGAATTGATTCATGAACCGATAATTAATAAATTGATATAAATTATTTTTGATATTTCGCCTAAAAAGATCAAACGCAAACCGATTTACGTAATGATCTAAATAATTTTCATAGTGAATTAATAATTAAAAACAATGTTTAAGGAAATGATTTGCTCGAAAAAGGTAATTGTACTTGTGTGATACTATGACTTAATATTTATATGCGCAATGCTTATTTACGTAATGCGGAGCAAGATGTAACGTAACTTAAATTGTGAAACGATCTACAGTTTCACAATTGCGTGCATGAAGTGCGTGAAATGGCAACTTTCTTTTCTTTCAGGCTATCTCTTCAAACTTTTCTAATAGTAAACAATGTCTTTAAATAATAATATTATTATTATTTCGAAAGAGGATGAAAACTTTTTGAAAGAATTTTTAAAAGATTTTTATCGTCAAGTTATAAGAATAGAATATTATTCAAAATATGAACATATTTTAAAGGAATGGATAAAAGATTATTTTAATGATAATGAAAAAAGTCCTGAAATAATTTTAAATTTAATGAAAAATCATGAAGAAAGTGAAAATTGGTTTTCAAGTTTAATAGGATTTTTTTATGAACATAAAAATAATTCTTTGAAATTATATTCGTTATCGATTAATAAAGACGGTATTAATTCTATGTATCATTTACTTAATATTATTATTGCAAAATATTTATTATCATTTTATTATTATAAAGATATTATTATGGGTAAAAAAGGTTCGATTGCAAAGAAATTGGAAAATATGTCGTACGACCACTTTGAATATTTTAATGGATTAAAAATAAATTTACATAAAGATGAGATAGGTACTATAGAGAAGTATTTTGAATCACCAGATAATTTTAATCAAAATCAAATGGAAGATATCAGAAAGAAAAAATTAATTAAATTAAATAATTTAGGTTACTGTTTTCAATTTGGAATAGGAAAAAGCAAGGATGAGTTTAAAGCATTAGAATGTTATTTAAAATCGGCAGAAGGAGGAAATTCTAGTGCACAAAATAATTTAGGTTATTGTTATCAAAATGGGATAGGAATAACAAAAGATGAAAACAAGGCATTTGAATTATATTTAAAAGCTGCTAATGAAGGCGATCTATATGCGCAGTATAATTTAGGTGATTGTTATCAAAATGGAATAGGAACGAACAAAGATGATAAGAAAGCTCTTGAATATTATATTAAATCTGCTAAAGGAGAATATTCGCTTGCACAGAATACGTTAGGTATTTATTATCAATATGGAATCGGAACGGAAAAAGATTTAGAACGATCTATTTATTGGTATAAAAAAGCAGCAGAAAATGGAAATAAAGTCGCACAATACAATATAGGCAAAATTTATGTGAATGGAGAGAATGGTATAGAAAAAGATGAAAATAAAGCTTTTAAATATTATAAAAAATCATCTGATCAAGAATATTTGGATGCCCAATTTGAACTTGGATACTGTTATGATGTAGGAATTGGGACGAAGATTAATAAAATAAAATCAATTGAATTATAT